GACATGGTGCTCTGGCAGGGATCACAATAGAGAGTCCCGGACAGAGGAGGAGAAAAATGTAGAACAAAATTCAAATTTACCAAAAAAAGACCAACTGCTCTGGCAGGGATCACAATAGAGAGCCCTGGAGAGAGGAGGAGAAAAATGTAGAACAAAATTCAAATTAAGAAAAAAAAAAGACCAGGCTTTCTGGTCTGACAGAGACTGAAGAAACCCCAAGAGTATGGCCTCTGGACACCCTTTTAACTCTCCTGAGGTTCAGCCTTCAGCCAAAGATTAGACAGGTCTACAGGGCCAAAATAACACATGTGAGGGACGTACTTCACAGTTCAATCATGTATACAAGACTAATGGGCACACCAGCCCAAAAGCAAACACAAGGAGGCAGGAAGGGACAGGAAAACTGGACAAATGGAAACACAACCTGGGGTGGAGAAGTGGAGAGTGCTGACACATCGCAGGTTGGCAACCAGTGTTACAAAACAATTTGTGTATCAACTGTTTAATGAGAAACTAATTTGCTCCGTAAACTTCCACCTAAGTCACAATAAATAAACAAACAAACCAGTAAATAAATAGTGATCTGACTTGAAGTTAGAGATATATACAAGGGAAAGATTGTGTAGTAAGGAATATAGATTATATTCCAAGTGCAATACGGAACTACTGACAGGTTTTAAATAGCAGAGGGACATGATCTGATTTTAAGATGACTCTGCCGGCCGTGTGGTGAATGTACTGTTGTTGTTAGGTACCGTGGGGTTGGTTCCAACTCATAGCGACTCTGTGTACAACAGAACAAAACATAGCCCAGTCCTGTGCCATCCTCACAATCATTGATTAAGTTTGAGCCCACTGTTGCAGCCACTGTGTCAAGTTCATTTCATTGAGGGTCTTCCTCTTTTTCGCTGACCCTCTACTTTACCAAACATGATGTCCTTCTCCAGGGACTGGTCCCTCCTGATAATATGTCCAAATTACACGGGACAAGGTCTTGCCATCCTCGCTTCCAAGGAACATTCTGGCTGTACTGCTTCCAAGAAAGATTTGTTCGTTCTTCTGGCAGTCCATCGTATATTCAATATTCTTTGCCAACACCATAATAAAAAGGCATCAATTCTTCTTTGGTCTTCCTTACACACTGTCCAGCTTTAGCATGCATATGAGGCAACTGAAGATATCATGGCTTGGATCAGGCGCACCTTAGTCCTAAAGGTGACATCTCTGCTTTTGAACACTTTAAAGAGGTCTTTTGCAGCAGATCTGCACAATGCAATACATCGTTTGATTTCCTGACTGCTGTTTCCATGTGGGTTGATTGTTGATCCAAGTAAAATGAAATCCTTGACGACTTAGCTTCCAGACTAGGAAGAAGTATCTGGCAATCTACTTCTGAAGAAAATTGGCCAGTGAAAACCTTATGAATAATAGTGGTGAATGGATTAGAGGAAGGAAAGAATAAAAATAGAGAGAACAAGTTAGGAGACAATTATAGGATATAGGATGGTGGCTTGGTTTAGAACAGACGCAGTACAGATGGGATAAAGACTTAAGGATGTGAAAGATATTCTGAAGTATAACTAAGAGGCCTAGGTAAAGGTCCATGGTGGGGGTGCCATGGGACATTTAAACAGCTCAGGAAAGAAAATAAGGAACAGATAAAAACAGCTCAAAATAAGAAGTGCTAAGCATCTAAGGAAAAATAAAATTGCTATAAGAATACTGAATCAATAAGAAAAAGCCAAGATCATGGGCAACTCTGCAACCAGTATGAATCCTAACACAAGCAGCTGCTGAAGCTCCCTTTTAAAACCACGAAGCACATTTATGGACAATCCTTAGCAAATAACAAAGGGTGATCACATCACCTGACTTGCAAAACTTGGGTCCCAGAGTGGTAGTTATAACCACAAAAGAACAAAACTGCATCATTTATAATTAATTAAAAAATAAAGGTATAAAAATTAAACAAGTATCCTCATATACTGCTAGTGGGAATGTAAAATGGTGCAACCACCTTGGCAGATGGTCTGGCAGGTCCTCAAAAAAGTAAACAGCTACCATATGACTCAGCAATTCCACTCCCTGGTATATACTCCCAAAAAAGACAAAACCAAACCCACTGCCGCAGAGTTGATTCCGACTCATACAGACCCTGTAGGACAGAGCAGAACTGCTTCATAGTGTTTCCAAGGCTGTAACCCTTACAGATGCAGACTGCCACATCTTTTTGCCGTGGAGCTGCTGGTGAGTTTGAACCACTGACCTTTCGGTTAGCAGCCTAGCACTTGACCAGGGCTCCTCGGTATATACCCAAGAGAAAAGAAAACATATGTCCACAGAAACACTTGTACACAAATGTTCATAGCAGCATTATTCATAATAGCCAAAAGGTAGAAAAAACCCAAATGTCTATCAACTGATGAATGGTTAAACAGTGTGGTACATCCAAACAATGGAATATTTTATTACCAGTTGCTGTAGAATCAATTTCAATTCATGGCGATCCCATGTGTAGGGTTTTTAATAACTGATTTTTTCGGAAGTAAACTGGCAGGCCTTTCTTCCGAGCCACCTCTGAGTAGACTTGAACCTCCAACCTTTCAGTTAGCAGCCGAGCGCACTAACCATCCCCACCACTGTGATGATGGTTACACAACTCTGTGTAATACTAAAAGCCATTCGGTTGTACACTTTAAATGTGTGAATGTTATAGTGTAGTGGGTTAAACTGTGTCCTCCAAAAAGATATGCTCAAGTCCTAACCCCTGGTACCTGAGAATTTGACCTGATTTGGAAACAGGGTCTTTACAGATACAATCAAGTTAAGCTGAAGTCAGACTGTGAGGATTGAAAGATACGAGTCACTCTGAGTTGGAATGGACTCGATGGCAATGGGTTGTTTTTAACAGGGATGGTCAAATGAAGGACAAGATTCCTATTCTAACATCAAGGTCAAATGATTTCTCTTATTTTAATATATGTTTAAGAATTTGACAGCTGGGACCTGCAGGCTTCTCTCAGCTGCATCATTAGGACCACACTATGGTTGTAACTTGTGAGAAATCTTTACAAAGGTACAGCATCTGCTTCTGTTAAGATTATAGCCAAGAAAACCCTATGAAGCAGTTCTACTCTGTAACACATGGGGCTGCCATTGGTCGGAACTGGCTCCACAGCCATTAACAATAAAACAAGTATCTTACCTTTCAGGCATCTGTTAGGGAGAAATTACTCAATTCCTTACTCAAAAACTAAAACCCACACTTGCAAACAAGAATAAATCAACTAAGCGAGATAGTGACCAAGTCAGACTAAAAGAACACAGATTACATATATATAATCCTTCAATATATATTTTTAAAAAAAGTACCATGGATCAACAAGATTATGATAACTATTCCCTACTAGAACTCCACAAAATCTATTCTCCTCCCTTGTTCTTAAAAACAAAAAAAAGCCTAGTCAAATGAATTTATAGTGAGAAGACACTGGTATCCCAAGAATCAAGGAGTGTTTCTGTGAATTGGAAATTCAAATATAAGGATAGTTCTTGCTTCAAGGAGTTCACAATCCTAATAGAGGTGGAGGTGACAAACAAATATAACTAAGAAGGCAAGGTGTGTTAAGAGATGTGTAAGTATTAATTCCACGGTAATGTAAAAGGCTAAGAAAACTGATTCTGATCTAGGAACTCAATGAAGGCTTAGTGGAAGACTCATGCTTTGAACAGCTGGACCAGCCAGCATTTTGAGCTACAGAGACAATGGGGAACAAGAATGGCACATGTGAAAAAATGGAGACAAGAAAGCACATCAGAGAGTATTTGAGTAATAATAAGTAGGTGATTGTAGCTAGAACAAGAGTTGCGTGAGATGCCCAGGGAAAATGAATGGCTAGTTGCAGGAGATGAATTTAAAGCCCACTTGTAAAGAGCTCTAAATACCCTGCTAAGGGGCCTGATCCTTATCCTGGAGGCAATGTCAAACTAAAGGTTCCTGAACAAGGGAATCATCTGGATTTAGAAATTTAAAATCAAAGCAACAACTTCCCTTTTCATTAAAAGTGGACTGTAATTCCCTAAATTAAACAGATGGTAGAAATAAGAGACAGTAATAAATATTTAGTATGTAGGAAGAGATACACACAGATCTAGGAAAACATACTAAGACAGGACAGGGATTAATATCCACACTGGCAACAGGTCTAGTAAATTTTTCAGAACTTGTTTTCTAGTTAAAATTCACATTAATACTACTAACTCTAGCAGTTAAGAGGCCTTGATTTTCATGTAGATATATAGCAATTTAAGAAAACTCAATACAAGAATCAAGAGTTTGAAATTAGAAGAACGCCAAGCTGATGAGGGTTGTCTATTTTAGATGAGATTAGGGCTGCAACTCATAAAACAGCAACTTAAATGCAAGTTTTCAGGCACAGTGCATTATATTATGGCATAATTATATATGGAAAAAAGTAACCTGGCCTGAGAACTAATGAAAAATTCAAATACACCATATTTAGAGATATTAAAGTGAACAAAAAAAGTTCATCTAAATAAATATGAAAATGAACAAACAGATCACAACAATCTATAAATTAGTTTCTCCCTGTCTCAAAACAGCACAGTCATAGAAAAATAGAAGCAATCTTACCAAATGAATGAAGTTTGTCCCACGAACTTTTTGTAGTAGAAAGTTTCACAAGGCAATCTGCAAAAGAAAAACTAGTAGTTTTACAACGGCAGATATCCTAAGAATCAAGTTAAGTCACTTAGTTCTCCCCACAGGGCTCTTCTCCATAGGTTAGAATGCCATTAATTCTTAAGAACGAGATATCAAAATTTTTAAATTATTATAGTGTGACTATTTAGTCAACCATAAACTTCAGAATGTTTAATTGAACTGAATGGTCCCAGTTAGGTCTCAGCTGGATGGTGCCCAGCTACCATTACTGATCGTTTTGATCAAGGACTCAGTAGATGAACCCTGATCAAAGAGGGGGATGTTGAATAGAATTTCTAATTTCTTACGGAATCCAGACTTACTGGACCCACTGAGACTAGAGGGAGAACTCCCGAATCTATTGCC